TATTAAAAATTTCTACATTTAGGGGTTATTTATTTATTCATTTCTGTTTTATAACATATTCGTTTATTATTGGTGCATTTTTGTCAGTTATTGATTTTTGTTTTTACCTAGGATTTATTTTATATATTATTTTTTTTTGTTTGTAAAGTGCTTTTGTTCAGGTATATGAGTTACAGTAGAATTGATTTTTTTTGGTTTGGTTATTATTTTTGATTAAGGTATGTTAAATAATTTGAAATTAATAAATGAAGTTTGAAATAAGTTCGAACGGTTGACAAATCAATTCAGGTCAACAAAAATCCATTTGATCTGCACAGAAGAGCTATTAATTCATATAGCTCCGCAAATTATATCAAACAAGTTCGGGTATTTGTTAATGAAGAATCGATTAATCAATGATAGATTTATTTCGAAAATTAAAAGCTAGAATCGGTAAAATTCGATAATAATTTTCAATTAGGACACGACAGCACGTGAGTCAATATATGGATTTAAATATTTCTGCCACGAAAATGGCAAGATTTTGCAAACGGATTTGTTTATGCTAAAATGTGTATACAAAACCGAAAATGAGGAGATATTGTATATACGCCTCAAAATAAACGCCTCATATATATCTTTTTCTTTATGAACTATAAAGTTACCAGCAAAAATGTATAACGTCATAACTCAAAAACATCAACTAGAGCCTTTAAAAGGCCTTGACCTTTGTTCTGTTAATACAGTATTCACCGCTTAATTATCTTCCACGGTTAATTAATCCGATTTCAGAATACCCAGTTATTTTCAGTACAATCCCTTACAAAATTGTACGTTTAATTACCCCCCTTTAATTACCCATTTCATTTATTTGCCTCTAAATAACCTACCCCAAAGTAACCGTACCTTTAAATCTGTCCTATGTAATTACCCAATGTATTTTCTTTTAAATCTGGCAACTTTACTTAAAATGGCTTACATTTGCTAGTGCACTTGCCACACATGTGCACTTAAAATCTATTGTTTTGAAAGTTTTCGTGAAATGTCTCCCAGAAATACATCTTTGTCTATCAAACTAAAGCTCCAGTTAATATCTCAACCAAAAAAAAAGAAAAAACAAAACACCAGTGTCCACCGATATTTACCCTTGCTGGGTAATTAACCGGGGTCCACGGATAATTATCCTAATTAATCTTGCACGCCTTATTACCTTCCACGGATAATTACTCAAAAATCTTGAAATTTTCACTGAAGTAATTAAGCGGGGTTTACTGTAATGCGTTACGGATTTGTATTATTAACCCATTAAAAGTTAAGGTCGGTATTTTCATGGACATTTTCCACTTTTACCCGATTTATGCCCAGAATGTTCACTAATAAATTTCCTATAAATTGTAGATAATGAAGACCTGTCGGATTCGTCTGAAATTTGTACTATAAAAAGGATGCAGATACAGATCCGGAACCCAAAATTTTTAAACCTTGTGCAAATTTGTCTTACCAAGGACTTTCGTTCCCATAAAGAATTGTTCCATAATACGATCTCCGAGCATTAAAATGTCATTGTGCTTATAGTGGTATTTTTTCTTTTGATTTGAAAAAAAAAAAAATATTATGTGTGGCATTAAAAATGGGATAAATTAGTGATGCGTTTGATTGTCATCCGAACATAACATCGCTTTACTTGTTTACGGAAGTTTTAGGCATGAAACGTGAGACTGCGAAGGTTGCTTTTGAGGAAAAACAACATCTTAAAGGCATCGCTCAGGAGGCGTTAAACATCGTCACCGATGATCCAGATTACCTCAAAAAGGTGATGACATGTGGCGAATATATGTCTATGGCATTGACTTCACTTTGCAATTAATACAATGAAATCTAGAAGAGCCAAGGTCAAATGTGAAGGGTTTGCTCATTGATTACTGCGACCACACATACATAATCCCTCGTACTATGGTTTAATTAAATTCAATATGGGGACAAACGCAAAACGTGGAACAAATCAGTTAACTATTTTAATATAAAAATGGGGGTTATATGGGGACTACGCCAATCTGACTTCGGGGAGTCACTACCTCTTAAAGTGACCACCCTAAAGCTGGGGTGCCATGCGACCTTTTGCCCATCAGTGTTCTATGGTTTGCGTCAGGGTCCCGACTGTATTAGAACGGAGCTTTGTTGATAACTGGGCCCTTAAACAAGATCATTCAGGCTTAGTTGCCGAGTCCTGGCCATGGTAAGAGGTTATGCCATGGTCGACCTCAATCCCTCACTAAAATCAAATTCTATGGAGCCGAATTTAATTTTAATAAACTTCAGGTTGGTTGGAGTGAGTAGGGGTGTTAAGCCTGGCGAGGATCCGAACTCCGTCTCCATGGCCTATCGAAGCGGAGACTGGGACTGATGATAACTGGGCCCCTCAACAAGATCATTCAGACTTAGTTGCCGAGTCCTTGCCATGGTAAGATGCTATGCCATGGTCGACCTCAATCCCTCACTAAAATCAGATTCTATGGAGCCAAATTTAATTTTAATAAACTTCAGGTTGGTTGGAGTGAGTAGGGGTGTTAAGCCTGGCGAGGATCCGAACTCCGTCTCCATGGCCTGTCGAAGCGGAGACTGGGACTGATGAGACTCCCGTCGTTAAGATGGATGAATCATCAGTACAAAGAACTGCAAGACAAGTCAAAGCCAAGGAGATCGGTGCCAAGAGGATGTACCGGAAAGCGGTTAACTACTGCAACCAATTCATTAATTAAAACCGCATGTACCAAATTACAGCGAATTCGGTCGAAAAATGCGCTCAAACCCCTAAATACTGAAAATGAGGCTATACCCGAAAAAATTTCCGCGAATTCGGATGGAAAAGGCTCTGAACACTTCAAAATACCGAAAATTAGGGGTATTCTTTATGGGAGTTATGCCCGCACGTGGACCGATATAGCCCTTTATCGAACTTGATATGTCCGCTTGTAAAAAAACAACTCTATGTTAAATTTTGACGATTAATCTCAATTCGATTAGTGGCAGGAGTGATTACAACAGACGGGCATGGCTACATCGTCATTAAGAATATATATACTTCATAGGTTCGAAAATGATTATTTCGATAAGTTACAAACGAAAAAACACAATTAATATACCCTCCATACCATACCTCGTATATTATTAATCCATGACAATTTTTTTACAATCTACTTCACCAAGCTAAAAAAAAATAATTTTAAAATATTGTTTCCTAAATTGATTTGTTTCCCTTTGAACTTAATAATTGTCATCTAAAATTTATATTAAACAAATGTTTTGTTTTTAATAGAACCAAAGATAATAACAGTCTTGATTGTATAGAAATTATAATATGGAAATATGAAACGTATTACTAAATTTTAATTTTATTTGAATTTTGCCTTTAAATAATAATTAAAAATATATATAAAACAAAATTTTCACATTTTTTCTTGTTATTTTTAAAATTTTTTTGCTTCATTTATTTTGATATTTTAATACTCGTCGTCTTGTCTCTAATTTTCGTTACTAAAAACAAACATTCAAAAAACATTTTTTGTTGTTGTTGTTGGTCAACTACTATTTAAACAATGATCTTAATAGCTAAACATTTTGGATGTAATTTATTGATGTTTTTCTTTAATCATTTTCTTTTTTAATTTTTTTTTTTTTGTGAACAAAAAGGACTGGATCTTCGTTATTCAATGGCCACTTCCACTTCATCATTTAACATTAACATACAATTCCCATTATTTGCATTTAACTAAAAACTAATTAAAGACTAATATTATATATTTGTTTATACATTAATATTATATAGATTTATTTTTTCTAAGTTTTTTTTTGGTTTCTGTGTTTGGATTTTTGGTATTTCGTGTTTTGTTTTTTTTTGTTTTTGTAATAAAAAAATCAACAACAAGCTCTTCAACAAAATTTAGATTTCAGTAAATTCCTTTAATTGCACAAAAACAATGGAGTACAAAGACACAGAGGGTATCTTTTGTTTTTGGAATTTGTGCCATGATCTTCAGAACTTAAAAATTAAACAAAGGATTAATCGTACAATTTTTATTTACAGTTAATGTTCAATGGTCGTAGTATTTTTTATAGACCGAATTTAATGAAGTTATGAAGGCATGGCGTATTTTGAATAATTGTGGGCTATAGAAGCCGCCACCTGTAGGTGATTTATGGACATTCGAATAAATCGTATCAAAATACATGGTAGTTAAAATTGTCGATATGTGGCGCCGTTTGACTACCGATCACACGGTTGCATTTCAAATTCACCATTTGTGGTTTGCGTCTGTGCTTAAAATAAGAACCTTATTATCGATCTCATGGTAATGTCGGCAATTCACTATTTGTGGTTTGTGTCTGCACTGCAAGTACTAACAGTAGCATCTAGCGGAGAATAGAACTACTATTTAATTTGATACGATTTAAATTGAATGCCCATACCTACCTCTACTAATCACTACTTGCAAGAATATTAAACGAAATTGTTTTCGATTGTGGAAATTGAATACATGTTATTACGTCTAAATAAAATGAAGAAATTCATTTTTATTTTTAGAGGTACAACTTGTCTTACAACATGTTTGTAGTGTGCGCATACATTGAAACTTTACAATGTAAATATATTTGTTTACGATCGGATCCTTTGTTTCATAATTTGTCTTTCACCCCTCTGTGCTTAGCTTGCAAAGTAACTTTATACCGCCATCAATCTATAATTACAGTTCGCCAGGATGGACAATAATATTGAACTAAATGTCCAGAAATTCCTTCCAGGCAACGGACATTTTTTATAGCTTCATATTTTTTTCAAAAAATCTTTAATTGCTGAAAGAATTCACCATTTGTCAAAACACTTCCTGGACAAACTGTAACTATACATTAATAGATAAGTGTGCGTGTGTTTTTTTTCTATCTGTCGATTAATTGCCGGACACCATCATGACCAGCAAACCAGTTGATTTCTGTCGATTTTGCATTCGTATAAAAGCTGTTAGCTAGAATAATGTTTCTTTGGACCATTTACGTGATGAACTGGGTAGACTGGGATCGAATGGTGGCTGATGGCTGGCCTCATCACTTTTACAACTGCGACGACTGTGATCGGCACTTAGATCACTTTCACGTCTCAACTCCGTCGCCGATTTGATCGATGAACTATCCTCCTCAGTGGTGGGTAGTCGTATCAACGGTAATTCCAACATTACCGATGGACATGGTGAATGTTGTCGCGTCTCATAGAGCGGAGTTTCTTCGAGGGCTGAATAGAAAATAGTCGATTGTTGCGGTGAATTATCACCGAATGCTAAATCTGTGGCACTGCGACTTATTGTATTGATGGGCTCGTGTTGTGCGGATGCTGACGAAGATGGCCGTGGTGTTGCCGTTGTGGTTGTCGGATCTGAGATTGTTGCTTTGGAAGGTTTGTGTAAAATCAGGCTCTTAAGAGAAGAAGGCATTTTTATTAGGGTTTCCTTAGTGTGTATAAAAGAATCAGATATAGAAGAGGCACAAGGATCATATTGGGTGTTTAGGGGGGTTTTGGTATTGTTGCCGGGTATTGTTTGTTGTGTTGCACATGTAGTGGCAGACGAAGAAGAAGTATAAATTGGCAGTTGTTGTTGTTGCTGTGGTTGTGCTTGTTGATATTGATCTCGATCTCGTTGCTGTGGAAATTGTCGTTCATGTCCTGTGGTCTGCGCGCTATCGGTCAGAGGACTAATGCGACCAAAACTCACCACAGTATTTAAACTACTGTGGTGTGTTAGACTTGAACCTCTTGTGGTGGTACTTAAACCTATGGTCTCATTGCTACCCGTAATCATGAAGTCAATGGTCTCGCCCGGCGTCTCTACACCCATACCCACCTCGGTGTTGAGCGTGGAACAGGTGTCGTCTTCCGTCGTGTTTGTAGTAGTTGTGGTAGTTGTAGTCGTTGGCTGACTTTGTGGATCGCTATACTGTTGCAAAAGCTGGGCCCGTCGTGGATGTGTGGGTGGACTATTTGTACAGATGATGGCACCAAAGTGGGTCTCCAGCGGCATTTGCTTCGAGTCCACAGATGAGGCGGGTGAATGAAAGTCTCTCAAGGGGTGACCCAACAATGCCACACGATCACTGGAAGACACACTAATGGTGCGATTACGCTGAAGTAATAAACGACGTTGTCGCGCATTGACAGTTCCCGCAGTACTAGTTGTTACAGGTACACCGGATATATTTGGATTTGTTGTTGCGGGTGTTGTTGCACCAACACCACCACCCAGACTATAATGTCTCTCCAGAGGATATCTTAGCTCTGAGGTTGTAGCCCCAACTGCTGCTGTGGCATTTTCCTGTTGTGCCACATTGGGCGCCACTTGTGCATCACCATCTGCCACATAGTCCTGCAGACTAGCTTCCTCACTGTCACTGCTCATCTGGCGCAAATCTTCCTCGGTATCAGCCACACTATCCAAAAATACCGAATCTTCATCCATGGAGCGGGCTTCGGAATCCTGATATTCCAGTGATGAGATCTTAAAGGAACTTAACGAGGCCAGTGGTGCCCGTCGCTCGGCATTGAACAATGCCTTGGCCGACACTGTACCCAAGCTACCGCTACCATTGAGCTTGTCAATGCTTAGCGGTGTACTGTCTATGCTAATACTGCTGGAATTGGCATTGGCCGCCGCCTTGGCAGCTGCCGAATTTGTATAGGGGAAGCTATTGTTGTTGTCGTAGGTTAATGCTGACGCTGCTGCCAAACTTGGCGGTGTATCCTGTTCGGGATAGGGTATGCGCGGCAATTCTACCACCGCTATTTTGCGTCGAACATTTAAACGCAATTCCTCCGTTGGCGAGTCGGTGAAACGAAAGCCCTGATGCACCCCCACCGGTGGTGCCGATTGTGCCGGCGTTGTCGCATCATAGATGCTTCTCTCAGTCAGTGGTTGATTGTAGGGATACACATCGACCGTATCAGCACTTATGGAGTGTATTTGTTGTTTACGCCCCGACTGGGCACTCTCCGGATCGTAGTAGGCAATGCTATGCTTGCGTATAAATTTCTGTGAAGGTGATACACCTCCACCGGATTTGTCCGTTGTTTTGCCATTGGCAGTAGTTAGAGAGGTTACCGGTTTGGCCAATTTACCACTGCTGGCAGCCGTGGTTGTAACCGTTGATAAACCTTTCAGCGTGGTCTCCATATGCAATGGAGCTGGCGTGGCCACAGCTCCCGCTGCTAAAGTCGTTGTTCCAGTTCCTGATTTCGTGGCCTGAGTCTGTTGCTGCAATTGTTCATAGATACTACGTTCCGAGGACAATGGTGATGGTTTGGGTGTGGGCTGTATCACCTGAATGTCGGGATAGTAGTAATCCCACATTTCGGTGCTCGAAGCCCGGGATGCTGTTGAACATTTTCGCTGTAATGAAGGCGGCAGGTTTGACAAACCCAATGTAAAGGCAGAACAACGTCTCTCTAGGTAAGAACTGTCAGTGCTACAGCATGTCATGGCACTGCTGCGACGTGAATCTTGACCCTGAAAACAAAGAGAAAAGATTCTGTTAGAAGAAGAGGTCTTCGGTGGGATATGGTACACCACTTACCATTAACGGCACTTCAAGAAACCCATGTTTGCTTTTGGTTGAATCACTTCGTTTGTGCTGATGTTTCCCCACCACCTCTTCGCCCAGTGTAGATGCCATCACCCTTTGCTGGAAGTCGCCATTATCGAACTCATCATCGGTCTCCACGAAATAATCATCGGTACCAAAACTACTACCCATAGGGTAATTACTAAAGATACGCGAAGTGTCCGAACCACTTCGTCTGCGACTTCCGGCATAGTTGGCGCCACCTATACTCAATGCACCCGAGGCTGAGGAAAATGAAAAACGTCGTGGCGGTTCCAATAGGCTACTGTAACCACCACCCACCGATGAGAAGCGAAAACCACGATTCAACATCGGTGGAGCACTGACATTACCCAAAGAGAGCATACGTTGACGTCTATACAAGATGGCATCATATTCATCGGGATATATGGACATTCCGGTTGCGACCATGGCTTCTTGGATTTCACGTTCTTCTTCCTCTTGCATGCATACGGCGGCCACAGCTGCCATTTTGGGATCCTAAAGAAGAAGAAAATTAAATTACAATATTACTGATATAGAAGTTTGCCCGGTCTAGAAATAAGGGTCGACAATATAAGTATCTTTGAGAAAGATCCGCCATTTTTTAGAAGATTTAGGTCAGTCTTATTCATTATCTAAGTTCGAACAGGTCCATTATCTCTAAGATAAAGGTCGTTCAGGTGACTTGTCTTAGAGATAAAAGCTGGCTTGATTCATTATCTCCCACATGAAGGTCCGCCGAAGTTCCATTATCCCGAAAATAAAGACCGGATAGGTCCGGTATTCCCGAGATGAAGGACATTCAGAGTCATTGGCACGTATCTGTTATATATAAAAGTGGAAATAGGTTACCTTTAACACTTTCAAAGTTTCATTGGAACTACTGCGACTTTTATAGACTATCAGGAACACCATAAGACCAAAGAATCCACCCAGGGTTGCGGCTATGCGTACACCAGTCATGACATCGTATGTGGCAAAGAATTGGGCACGTATAAGTTCACGAGGGCTAAGTGTGGGAGTTGGGGCTGTTTGATTGTATTTATCCGGAGGCATTGGCGAGGCAGTATATGGTGCATGTTTATTGGGTCTGCAACGAGCAGAACATAACTATTATCTATTCTAAAAGTTTATCGAATATCTTACCCAGTCGTTGTTGTTGTATAAGCATAGACATTCCTGTGTGCAGTTGTGGTAAATTTTGGACCATCATTTCGTAGCGGATCCACTGTTGCACTGGCCACCGTTTCACCACTGCTACCATAACCATCTCGACCATTATCCAAAGAAGTGTCAATGAAGCGAGATGATGAAATCCCTGAATTGGGAATGGAACGTATCGTTTTTCGACCATTTATAAGATTGTTATTGGCATTTAGGCGATTTTCCGTGGCAGATGCAGTCGGTTCGGATGGCGGCGATAAATTCGTAATGGACGCAGAATATGTGGCCGAAGTAGACGATAATGCGGATGTATCAACAGCGTTGGGAGTTGATGGCGTGGATGATGAAGACGATGACGACGACGAGGCCACAGCACGTCGTGAAATTTTGGCCATTTCTACAGGAACATTTTCTGGAAGAAAATAAAGAGGATTTTTTATCGGTTATAAAAGAAATTTTGAAAGGAAATATATTTGGGAGGAACGGGACAGGTTCGCATCTCACACACAGTGATCCATATAGGCCTCATGTCAGATTTAATAGTTCGGTCAGGATTGAATTTCAAAGATAAAAGCCCTGAACAGTCCTGATCTCAGTGTTAATGGTCCTTATCTTATAGATAATGGTTCTGATCTAA